TGAATACATTATTTCTATAGGTACCTTTAACCATTTTTTCCCCTAAAGCATCTTCTCTCTCAAAAAAAAGTATTTAGCCAAATGTTTCCTTAACCACAATCTCTTCCATTATTTCACCCAAAAAGACATCTTGATAACTTCTTGCTCTGCTTCAGCCCTTCCAGAATCAGAGAGCAAAGGATATCCTCTATAATTATATACCTGCTTTCCAGGCTGAAGGGCAAGAAATAAGAATAAATTAAGCTTAAAGAAATTTAATTTTGCAAGGCACTGAACAGATATCCATAATTAAGCCCATGAGCGCTTCACAGTTTAGGTAAACAAGTGATATTTTGTAAACAGGAAGCTTTTCTGCTAAAAAACTGGACTCCTTACTTAGGCAACCAGACTCTTCTCATTGAATCAATAGGAGTTAAACATTTGGCAAATCTTCACAGTAAAGCCACCTATATATGTCACTTTAATGCCATCTCAATAGGCTTTTTTAGAGGCTTAAATATGCCCCAAACCACACTGCAAATATGCACCACATATGTAACTTATGCCATGATTAGAAATGTCTGGAAACTTTATTTTTTAAAGTGTGTTTTATCAGAAATAAATGGTTTAATAAAAGAACCAATTTCCTCAGAAAGGTTCATATACTTCATAAGAATGCCATTACAGAGATTTTAATGCAATATTCTAAACCACCTAAGTGGAAGAGACTCGAGTTGGAGTAGCCAGCAACCCTAATTTGGATGTGGGACTCAAATCCCTGACCTGCCTAGTTTGGTGCCATGGTCCCAGGGATTACTTTACTCCCCTGCTTACTGCCACTGCTGTATGGCACTAAGCTGACAGACTGCCCCTGCCTTGTGCTTTTCAAAGGTCATTATTTGTCCTCTGAAGGATTCTTCAACTTCTTTTCCTTCAGCTCCTGTGCCAGTGTTTAATGAGAGGCCTCGTGCCTGCGAGAACACCCCTATAAAAAGCCATGGTGCTTGCTGTGTGGCAGGACAGAAACATCTGACTGGCTCCAGTGTTCACTTAACCCTCTTGAGCCCTCACTCCTCTCACTGCAGCTCTTCCTTCATTGGCATTAAAGGGTGCAAGGCTGCAGAATGCCAGAAGTGCTGCAGATTAGAGCAGAAGTACTTGGACAGCATGGGGCAGCTCAGGGACTGGAACACAAAGAGGTGAAATGGGTCATGTCTGAGGCAGAGCTGACATGATGTATTACAGTTATGGAAAAGAAGCTGTTTAAACTTCTGTAGGCAATATCACAAAGTCATCCCAGTGTGGAGGACATTCCCAGGGAGAACACAGCAAAACACAGAACACAAGTTCCCAATGAGGAATTTATGAAATTCATGATTTATCTATCTGCTGATTTAGTATCAGCTGTATTCAAAACCAGTTTGAAAAGCCATCAAGAGGTTGTAAAGCATTTTTTCCATGTTAAGAGTGTGTGTAAATTCTAATAATTTGATACATTCCTATTGAAGAGTCCAGCATCTGATTTCTGTGATTGTGAATTACCAGATTGTCTGCATGTAAATAGCATCTGTATCCTTGACAACCAGACTTTATGACTGACTCATTCAGTGAGGTCATGATTCATTGTCAGAGGTATCAAAATTCAGTACTTTCTTTCACAGTACTTTTCCTGCCATTAGGTTTGTGCCAAACCATAGTAACTGAGATTTCCTTACAGACAGGAACAAAGTACTGACCAAGAAGCAAGCAAAGGCAGGGACTAATCCAGCAAAAGCAATACATAAATGAACCTCAGATTCAGACCAATCCCCCAGGAAAAGGAAAAAATCAGTAAAATGGATAGAGATGCAATTTAATGTGGTCTAAAAAGAGAAAAAGGTGATCAGAATCCTCTTCAGGCAATATGAAATATTCAGCTGCTCCCTAGGCCTTGCATAAATGTGAGCAAAGCAGCAAAGTGTCTGAACGTACATGCACACAGAGATCCCTGAACAGCCCTGGGGGTCCAAGCTTACTTGACACAATTCTGTGTATAAGAGATGACAAATCCTCAACTCCCATGGACTTTGAGGCTAGATGGAATCAAATCAGCACCTTTTCAGTCTGACAGGAGGAATGCATTCTGTTTTGGGTGAAGAATCCTTGACTGGGTCAGCTTTACCTTTTGAATTTAAATCTCTCCATTCACTTCCTTCTTTCCTATGCTACTCTTCTTTATCCTCCAGTGCAAACTTCAAAATCTGTCTTTCTTTCCCTCTTACCCTCAAGGTTTGTTTTACCTTGTTTCTCATTCCAGTCTTACCATGCAATAAAGAATGTGCCAAATCTGTTGTGTTGTACCATTTATATTAAATGTCATGGAACTGATGAACTCGGGTGATATTAAGAGTGAAATTTTTAACTTGGAGTAATGGCATTTGTTAAGTTTTTGTGAGACTCAGATACCTAACCAGCTGGCTTCTTTACAGAACTAGAATTTTGATTATTTTCTTAATGCAAATTCACAACTTTAATTGGTCTATGCCTTTTTTTTTTAAATTGTATGAAGAATTTTAAACAGTGCTGCCTGAGGGTCAGTTCTTTAACTGCTCAATATGGGAAAAGCTTTATTGAAACCATGGGGTTTTATGTGCACTAGATAAGGCTCTGACCTCTCTTTCAAGGCAAAGAATTTCAGCCCTAATTTAGTATGTAGGGATAATTTTAGTAGTGTGAATAAGTCCAGTTTAGCTGAAGACATTGCTTATGTGTCTGCACCCCTTGTTGAGTTAAAATACTTCAGGCCAGAAAATCAGTGGAGAGCGCTGCACATCTTACACTTCACTGCCTATGCTGTAATGGAACTGACAGTGTGACATGATATACAGCAACAATGACCAAGCCTGAATTACAGCTGTACAGATAAATTTGTTTATTGACAAGAAAGAAAGGATTTAATTTGTTTTTAAAATACTGTCAAATGTTTACTTGTAGGTGTTACCGAATCAGATGAGTTAACACAGTCACTGTACTCAGAAGATCAGACATCTGCTCTGAGGTGAGCTCCAGCTCCAAATCCACTCATAAAGATGACACTTTGGCTGCCTACATCCAGATGTACAGCAAGGTGTACATCTCAATCCCTGAAAGCACCTTACAGTTATCCTGCCTGCCCATCAGCTGCCTCTCCTGTAGATCTTTGTTTTATCTGCCACTCCTACATGGATACTGCGGGGTCCCTATGGTGACTCAAACCATGTTTAGGCAATGGAACCAAACCCTTGATCCTTGTTACCAGCTTCAGTATCTTTTCCTCATGTAAATGGTTGTGTCTTTACCTTGTGCTGAGTCCAATCTGAGTGTCTCAATAACATAAATTAATCTCAGCATCTAATTCACACCAAAACACTGTGATATGTCACAGGTGGGAGGTGTATTTTTCCGAAGTACATCTTTTAGGAAACATTTTCCCTGTTACACATCTTTCTTTTTGTTTCAGGCCCTGCAATCACTGTCAAACATGGTTCTCAACATGAATGCAGTACTAAAATCTCTATCAGTACTTTGTTTCAAGGCATAAAACCATGATGCTTTTAAAGTGCCTGTGTTGATCCTGCCCTACAAACAGATATTATAAACCATTTAGTGACTAGTGTACTGACAGTACAGTGATCTAACTTTAAAAGCTGTCCTCTATGGATCACACCTGAAAAGACAGTTGTGCATAATTTATATATGAAATTCAATCAATGATGGCCAATTTTGACAGGTCATTTAACCCATGTAGAACTTTTGTCTCTTGGAAGCACATCTTTTGCAAGTGTGTTGAGAGTGATTGATTTTCTATATTCATCCTGCATCTGGTGTTCATATTGAACACTCCTGCTCTTACTCTACAAATTGCTACAAGGGAAAACCTTGTTAGATTTAGGATATATGCTGTACAAAGAGGGTGGCCAAACTCTGGAACATGGGGCCCAGGGAGCATGTGAAACCTCAGTGTTTGGAGACTTGACACTCATCTGTACAAGGTGCTGAGCAGCTGGGTCTATCTATGTTGGTCCTGCATTAAGTGGGGTTTGGATAGTCTCCAGAGAGCCCTTGCAACCTCTTCCATAGTTTTGTGCCTTTGGCTTTTTTTTTTAAACTCATCTGCATTCTCAAAACTTGAGTCCAAATATGCAAACCTTAACTGAATTCTAAAATCAGTCACTGAAAACTACCTAATATTTACTATGTTCTGATGCCACCAGTCTGCTCTGATGGAATCTACTGCTGCACAATCTTACTCTACACCTGGACAAAGCTCAATCAAGCTTCAATTCTAAACTCTCTGCATGCTACATTTGAATCTCTGAGTTCAGTCTTTCAAAATGGCCAGGGCACAACTGATGTTCACTTACCCATATCTATTAAAATTCATCCTTCTTTAATACTCTACTTGTTAATAGTGAAAAATGTGCTAATAAACTTACTCTATAGCTTCATTTAATTAATAGGTTTTTAATCAGTCTTCTTTTTTTCAGGACAAAACATGGAAAAATGAGCGGCAACATGACTGGGTGAAGTGTGTGCAAAGGCTAAATATGAAGTGAGCAAGATCTTTACATTTCTCCTAATACATTTCTAGCTAGGGTCTGCCCAATCCTCTCTGAATTTCACTCTGTTAAATGGTGTTCAGCAAAGAGTTTCAAGCTGGTCCAGTACAAAAAGGAAAGGTTTTGTATTCTTTGTCTAGGAAGATCTAAGACCTGGGAAAGCAGTAAGAATTCAGTAGTAAGCTGCACTGGCACAGGTGGCAGGTGCAAAATGTAAGAAGGCAAAGCACTTCTTTAACACCTTGCCAAATCCCAAAGCAGCATCTATATTTGAATTTTCTAATAGTAGTCAGAATGCACAAAACCAAAGTCACACTTCCTTTCCCTGTCTGGGTATCTATATAAACAGTATGTGTTAGTTTCCCCCCTACTTAAGGCAGTTCATCTTTCTCTGGCAGCAGTCCTTCATTCTTTGTCCCAGAGGACACCTCCTGTGCAACTTACCTTCAGGTCAGACACATCTCTGTAGCACTGCTCAGAACGGGTGTGATCAGAAAGCTGCACATTCCAGAAACATGGGAGCTGGTAGACAAGGAAGGGATTTTGTTTGATGACTGCATTGAATATATCCTAGCAGAAAAAAAACCAGAAAAACATTTGGGTATGTTGTTTCTACTGTGTGAGGTGATCTCAACTCCTCCCCCAGCTGACTCTCCTTCTCCCCCTCACAGGCAGAAATTCCAATGGTGATGAAAGGTGAAGTCTGTAAACCTTTATCCATAATTCTGTTGCCTTGGAGGGTGCTGTTAATCTAAGGGGTGATGTATAGATCCACACAAGAGGAAAAAGCTCTCCTGACACACAGAGCTAAGGCACTCCAGCAAAATTTTCTAACATTCATCTTGTACTGCTGGCATGAGGTGTGGCTGCTGTTCTAGTCACCAGGGAGAGTAACAGGCAGTAATGACACAGTGCCTGCTGGCACTGAATACTGCACCACTTTTTAACAAAGGGAAGGAAAGTGAATCTGGCAGCTATGTTGCTTCAAGGTGAATTACTAGACACGACTTTAGGTAGAACTTTATTGTTGCAACAAGTACCACAGGTACTTTATGGAGAAGGCATGGAGGACAGGTTGCAGAGCAGCCTACACCATGAGGGACAGAAAGTCTTGCCATAAGCAGTCATTCTGTTGGAGAAGTTAAAAGGACAATCTGAGGGTAAGGTATTAGGGGAAGACTCAAGCAGCCCTCCTCTGTTCTGCAAAATTCTGTCACATGCAGGTATTAGACAGCAACTCAGGACCTGACTGAAAACACAGTGAAATTGCCAGAATCTTTTAAATGAACCTCAGGATCACCCTGCAAAGATGCTGTACAGAGTGCACATCTCCATGAGCATGCTTCCTTTGTGGTGACCGGTCAGCAGCCAGAGGTAGCTCAGAAGGAGAACAAATATCTAAATACTATGCTGTATTGAGTTAACATGTTCAAGCGGTTGAGCAAGAATTATTGGTTCAAGTCTAGTATTACATTCTATTTCTGGATCTAAATTGAGAGTTGGCAAGAAGCACAAATTGAAAAACTGTATTTCTATGTTTAGGCACACTGTTTCTTCTCCGGGCCTCAGCCTCCTATCTGTGGCAGGGAGACAGCAGCACTTTTGTCTTTACAGGGCTATTGTGGCAAGGAGTACATTAAAAGACATCTGGGACTCATCTGCCAGAAACAGTAAAGAAATCTCAGGAGACTCTTAGAACTAAAATCTGATTAGACAATAACCAGTGGGAAAAGACACAGTTTATTTGGACTTCTGGTGCCTGGAGGGTTCTGTGTTAAAGAAGGGAGGACAGAAAAAGAAAGCTTAAAAATCCCTTTTGTCCCTCTTATGAATCATCTGAGCAGAGGAGGTAAAAATGTCAGTGTAGTAAGAGGAACCAAACCTTGTGACTAAATCTCCATTCTCTTCCACATTTTGCCCAGAATGATTCAACAGATGGTGACTACAGGCACAACAGCTTTCCCTTGCCTTTCCCCACATCCCATCCCCTCTCCCTTTCTTTCCTTCCTCAACCCATGGCTCAGTGGCCGTGCCCCAGTCCTGCAGTGTCCCACTCACCTGGTCAGCCAGTGAAGTGGACAGCATGCTCATCAGCTCCCGCTCCGCCGTCAGTCTCCACATCTGCTCCCACTTCATCTTCCGCAATTTATCGAGGAGCAGCAGGATCACCCCTGAAGGGAAACACGGGGCAGAGATAAAGGGAACCCATGGTGTCACGTGCCAGCCAAGGCCCACCCTGCCCATGTGCTGATGCGCCAGCTAAAACACAACATAAAGTTATCTGACACACCTGACTGCAACCCCTGAAACTTCTCTGAGGAACAAATTATCAATGCTGGTTACAACCTAGACCTTGAGAGGGCCCGCCATTGAGGCACCAAGTGTGCACAGAACAGGATCCTCAAACTGGAAATTTTAAGTTGGAAGAAAGATACCTCAACATTCATTGTATTCCTCAGTTGCTTTTTGGCTGGCCAGAATTCCTAGCGTACAAGAAGGGAGAACAGCGGAAACAATGATGCTGGATTGAAACCCCAGCAAAATCTTTCCTACAGTGTCTTAGAAAAATCTGCTTGAAAAATGAATTGGGAAAGGCTCAGATAAGAGTGCTATCATGGGGAATGAATGCAGACTGAAGGACCACAAAGAAGGAGTACTGATAAACAGCAGGCTGACAGAAACCACCTAGTAAAATCAATGATGGGTTCTGTGTTGTTTCATATCTTCATTAGTGGAGGGAGGAAGTAAACAGAACAGTAATGACATCTGCAAATGACATTTAACAAGAGGCCTTACAAAAGAATATCACGGCAACTGTAGAGAACCATAGCAGCTACACAGAAGAATACGAAATGACAAAAATCAGGCACAGGGAAAAGCTGTCTCAGGAGTCCAAGTTGATAAAACTAAAAGTAATGAGAAAAAGAAAGGAAATGTAGTCTGAATGCTTAAGAAAAACTCTCCTAAAACTGCTGCAGTGAAATAAACTAAAAATGGCAGACAAACTACTTTATTTCACGAGTCTTTCCAAATCAGACTATACCAGGATTAGAAAATGTACCTGGAAAAGTGCTGCTCTGGATGGGAGAGGGCATAGGTGGTTCAAGTTGCTTCCTATATTTAGTTTCTATGACATGGAAAGTTTCTTTCTAGTAAAACCTGGCACTGCTATGAATAAAAAGAAAATCTCTCCTGGCAGTGAATTTTGTGGCCTATTTTAGTTGTGTTTTCCATTCAGTCCATCTGGTTCCCAAGGATGCTGGAACCCGTGCTGGAGGGATCCCCTTTCATCTTCAGTCAACCTTTCTGCTTCCAGCTGTTGGATTGGGAAGGGATGCATTGTCACAACATGATACAGTTCATTTATGCCAGTGTGTTTGTCTTCTCTCCAGCATAAGGAAAGCCTATTTTGGAGCATGTAGTGTGCATGCATGAGCTTCTAAGAGAGCCATTATACATTGTCTGAAATTCTAGATCAGTGTGAAACAGGTTCCTTGTGCTGCAGCAATAAACTGGGCAGATCTCCTCTCCAGCAAAGGACTTTTCCAGCTGGCAAGGACAGTCAGCTTTGCAGTTAAATGCAACTGAGAAGGTTCTTTATTAAAAAAAATAAAGAATAATGGTTAGAAAACTCTAATAGAATAGTTTTTATAATTCATAGACAATAGGCCGATTTTTCTTAATTTCTCTAAGCCTCCAGTCTGAGGAAGAAAAGGGGAAATATTTTAATATGTGCAGTATTCTCTTATTTTTTTTTACTTCCACTCTTATCCTAGCAGCAGATTATGGCATTGCAGCTAATAAGATTATGCTGTCCTGAGGGGCTATCATGGTAGCAGCTGAGAGTAGAAGAGGCAGATGGAGTGAAAAAACTGGAATATATGTGAGAAAGGATGTACTAAATTACAATGCAATTATGGCTACTGAAAATATTCAAAAGTTTTACTGTTTCACCATCAAAACTAATTTCAATGTGATTTCTATTTTAATTCAGCTGCAGGCTTGAGTTTAACACCTTTGTACAGTTTCTATTTAGGCTTTTAATTTACTGCTGCCAGAGAATACTTATAGCAAGTTTAAATATTTACTTATTAGTGTAAGTGAGAATAAGACATTTCTACTAAGAGAAGATTTTAATACTATTCACTTAGAGTTATTGAGTCCAAAAGCAAAGCAAAAGCATGTGTTTTGAGAACTTTTAATTTGAGAACTTTTAAAACAGTTCACACAGAGGAAAAATTACTTTTTTCAGAACAGTGAACTTCAGGTTCTTGTCTATATTGTTGTGTTGCCAAAAGCAAACATAACAAATGAACTAACTTCAATCTACACGATTAGTTTGTAGGCAAAGTGTCTGAAATAAGGAAAGGAAAATATTTGCCTCAGGATCTGCTTCCCTCAGAGTCAAACTGAGTGAAATCTCAGACTAAATTCAAGATGACATACAGCTGAACATAAGGGGAAAAGGGACTCGCTCTCATCTGCTGTGCTGGGGGAAGAAGAAACTGGAGGAAAAAACAAGAAATGAAAGGAATATTTTATTAACATCTGGCCCCAGGCAGCAGGACTTCTGATCTTTGAGAAGTGCAGCATCTTCTTGCCCTAACCTACCTGAGAAAAACAGAAGGAAAGCTTGGCAGCAAACAAAGAAAAAGAGAGAAGTGGCAACCCAAACATCTCATGAGTATTAAACAAATTATGATCAGCCACAGAGCACCCTATTTTCTTTGTCCTGAGGAAATAGTTCAGGCATATCCAGAGATGTAAATATCTCAAAGATCTAGGAGAAAAAGAATGCTTTATTACTAAATTTGTGGAAAATATCCTAGTCTTGTTATAACTTGAATGGCATTTCTCTCCTGCTGCTTGATGAGATTTTGAACTACCAAAATTTGACAGATTCTGAACTGCTCAAACAGGCAAACAAACAAACAAAGCAGTTTCTCAAAAATGTCATTTAAGGACACACAAAAAACCCAGCTCCAAAACCAAAAAACTCCCCCTAAGCACAAAAAAAAAATAAATTGGTGAATAAATTGAATAAAACAGGACAATAAACCTGAATTAACATATTTGGATTAAAATGTTTCAGTTGGAAAACACTGCAAAATTTTTTTGGTACATTTTAAAGCTCAATTTACTTGAAAATAATTTTAATCTCAAAATTTATATGAATTAAAAATCTTATTGAAAATTATTACAAGATCTGAAAAAGAAAATTAATTTTCTATTTTGGGTCTAACCAAACTTTGGGAGTCACCTTTTCCATCCTTTTCCCATTTTTTGATTCAATCTAAAACAACTTTTTTGTTCTTCCAATGTTTTCATTAAGCAATGATTTCCAGAGATGCTTTAAGTCATGTCAGCAAATTTGTTCTTCTTTTTTGTTTGCTTTTGTTGATCTGCTCCAGAACAAAATATTTTATTTCATTTTTCTGAACAGTAAATTGAAAGTCTGCAGAAAGATCAGCCATTTCCCTTGGAATACTACCAAGGATCCCCACCTCTTGCTTCTGGAACAAAGACAACAGCTCCTCCTGAAATTCAGAGAGGAACAGATAGTAGAGCTGGAAGTAATAAACAACATTTTAAGACAAAACAGAATCACTTAGAGATGTTATAGTGAAACTGGACAAGCTTTCAAACTCAATCAATTTATTACAATGGGCCTTTCAAAGTGCCTGAAAAAAACACTCAGTGCTGTGGGGGAAGAAAATGTAGCTCCTGAGAAATAATTTTCTGTAAGATCTTGCCTGTTCCTTTTGGGTGGAACAGGATGCTTTTGTGAGCCTTTGAGGCAATGCCATCTTATATGAGTAGCACCTCAGAATCCATCCCTGTCAGGTTTTTAAAAACTCTTCTTGAAATCAGGCCTGCAACACTGAACCAGCTAGACAAATAACAAGTAGATATCATCCTAATATCCAAAACAGACAGGTAAGACGCGCTCCAAAATCTATCATAAAGCAATAGTGAGTTTTAAAAAAACTACTGGGATTTTGCCATAGCTAAGCAGCACACCAACACCAAACCACTGAGTCTGAGAGAAATCATGTTAAACAGGCCTGAAATTACGCAGATTTTGCAATAAATACGTGATCCAGACATTGAGGGCAGTAATCTACCATGTTTTGTGAAACAGATTTGGCACCCAAAATCTGAACTCCATTTTAAGTGCTGTGGAAGAGCCGTGTAGCTCTGCTGTCCTAGGAGAGGCTCCCTGATAGCGCTGATTGCTGAGTACTCTAGCAAATACCTGCAACTTCTTTTCATTCTCATTTATTGTACTTGAAGTCAATGCAAACTGTCCCAGTGTGCAGTGTTAGGGGTGTGACTATGCCTTTGCTGGTCAGGGCTCCAAGGACCAGTTTTGTTAAGGACTGCATTTGGAATCCACTGAGCCACAGCTCCACAGCACTGACTGCGGCCTCTCTTTTCCACCCACAGTGGAAAAGAGCAAACAGAAAAACCTAAGGATATGGCTGTTAGGGATTCAAACATTAATTTAAAGTTAGAATTCCAAAACAAGCCACTGAACATGTTTTAAAATGTACATCTTTGTGTGGATGAAATTCACAGCATTTATCTCACTTGGTTTATGGACTATCTGTTGCTCATAATCTGACCAGCCATATCATTACTGTAATAAAGCCATATTTTTCTATAGCTTTTAACATGATGTGACTGAAAGGACTGTCATTCTAGCACATTTCTGGAGCATCCTGATACATTATTTAACTATGAATTTCATGCACCAGTATTTTTTTCTCAAAAAAGCTTTTCACAATCTAAAATACCCAAACTAATAAAAAACTCGCATGGATGTACAATGTGTTCATTGAGAATAAATGATGATCCACATTGGAACTTTTCTCTCAGAAAACTGAACAGGGCTGAGAAGCTGTTTTGAAACAAAGTGTGTGTTCCTCCAGACATGGTGACAGAATGCAATAGCCCTCGTTTTCTCTGCACATGTATTAAAAGTGAAAGTTGTCATAGAGGGCAATTTGAAATGTTGTGCAGTCACTCTGTTGGGAGGCTGGGTCCTCCTGAAGCATTATAAACATTTTGTTTACACTTCCTGATGACCATTTAATGAAATAGAAAACTTTTACTTTCTTTATTCTCTTCTTCCCAAGTATACTACTTTTCCTTAGGCCAAATTAAGATG